AATCATTTAAAGCTCAGAAAGGGGTATGCAATAAAGAATCGACTTGAAAGCGTCCACTAGTTACTCATCAAATCTGAAAGTGACTAGAAACATTTATGTCATGAAGCATGGATCTAATTTTAGGAAATGGACTCAAGAAATAAAAATAAAGTTTTGGATCAGACAAACGATCAGACATCACTAATCACTGGACCTAGTCCCAGTGTACAGGACATTTTATACCCATTTGTTTTTCGATACAAAAGGGCCAGCTGTCCACGTATCTGTGGCTAGCATAGTTTTTCCAAACGTTATGGAACGATACACAACCACTCATCTGCACATATGTACCGGAAGTATATACTTCATGACAACGCACCCGCGCATAAGCCAGCCGTTGCAACATGCTTTTTGGAAGGCCAGACTTCGTTATATCCTCCTTACAGCTTTGATTTAGCTCCAAGGAAATGTTGGCGGAATACTGTTATCAAATATTTACTAAAGTGCAATAGATTTGAAAACCACCAGATAATTTCCAATATATTACCAAAATACCAATACGTGAGAAACAAAATTCGTGATCAGCGTGTTTAAAATAAAGCCCTCCGAGAGAAAGCTAATTTACATCTCACGCGATGTTCTTCCATATTGTTGTGCTAACAAAGGTCGTCAGCTCTCCGGATGGAAACACGAAGGTGAAAAATGGTTGTTTTGATGTGCACATTGTCTGTAAGTAGTCACATATTTATTTTTAGAAACACCTTGAAATATGTTGCTGTTGTAGGATTTAACATCATTTTTTAGCTCTTCACGGCAACCTGTATAATTGGTGGAAACAATTAGCGACCCACGAGTAGATTCGGGCAAGCGTTCTCACATAACCACTTTGACCGAGTCCGACACACGAACCCACGCAGACAAAGGTGAGACGGCAGTGATCCGTAATGGTGAGCCCTTTAGACCACTCGGCAGTTCGTGGCCTCCTTTTTGAAGCATGTGAGATAACAGATATTGTATAATAAATACAGTGACGCTATTCTAAAGAATGCATATTCACTATAGTCAAAGTAACAATATTTTATGAATTCGATACTAAACTTAGGCAGATAATCCATTTTCACTGAAGTCTAGTACATACAGATTTTCTTGTAAAATGGCTCTATTTATTCTATTTGTATTGGTTGTTCATAAACGTGTCTATTACTAACGTTCTAAATATTCTGTAAAGAAGACATGGGATAGCGATCCCACCATCGTCAACCAGTGTAGGTGATTATAATAAAACGAGATCAAAGTAGGCAGGACATCTCTCACATAGCTGACAAGCTAAGCGTAAGGACAATTTTATTAAGTTTTGGTCACGATGACACACACACACACACACACACACATACATACACACACACACGCGCGCGCGCGTTGATATATCTTTTGTAATGGCATAATACTATAATGCAGATTAGCATAATTTCTGCAGATTTGAAATACCTAATGTCAGATTACTTTTGTGGAACTTAGTTAATTCTGTTTGGCGTTTTGCTTTCATTTTTCTCTTTTTCATTTTTTTTTAAAAATTAGCCATTTATTGTTTTTTTACTGCTTTCTGTAACGAAGTCGATAGTAAACAATGGAACGGAATCTTGCATGCAACAGTTAAACGTTCTTCATGCATGGCTGCTTATCTAAAAAGCCTTCTCCCATGACGCCTACCTGGAATGAAATGCCTTTTGAACGAAGATATATTAACATTGTGATCTCATTCATGAGTGCTCTCAAAATTTTTTACCCATTTAGGCTGCAAAAATAGATTTAATACTTAGCAATAAAATCTTGCCCTTAATTATATTCATGCTTTACTTTATAATTTGACGATATTTTTTAATACAATCTTATCTATATATGTCCTTATGTGTCAAAGAATACCTTAAAACTCTTAGAGGTTCTATGCCCTTATTCATTATTATTATTATTATTATTATTATTATTATTATTATTATTATTATTATTATTATTATTATTATTGTTATTGTGTTGATGATAATGAGCTCAAGTCTGCCTTCTATACTTCTGCGATAAGATATTCCAAATAGTCCTTGATCTCATCTGTGTTGTCATATTGGGTGCATAGACGCTGATGGTTGTTCCACGTATTTTTCGAGACAGCGGAAGTCTCATTAGCCTGTCTCTTCTGCTCTTTGGGAGATTTGTGACCTTGCTGACTATCTATGATGACAACTCGGCATCAACAATATTTTACTCTTTACTTTGGCCACTCACCAACTAGACAACTCAAGGCTGCGATCTGGATGTTGAATCTAACATGTTCTCTACAAAGTAGAGCCATTCTTCTCTAAGGTATATTTGCTTATATACAGTCCTTTAGCACAAGCAAATTCCAGGCACCGACGGTGAATTGCTTCACCTTGGTCTTCATATTAAATTTCTACCGCTCAGAAGGGATCCCTGTTAGCCGCGGTCTTCTGACCAGTGTTAAGGTTAGGCTGGTAGTGTGTAATGCACCTTGCCTAGCTTCAAAATAGTGCTATGAAGGTGAGTAGTGTGATCCTAGAAAACGCCGCCCTTTCACTCAGATCGCAACCGAGTTGCTTTGAAAGCCATCCTATGCCCTAAGCTACCTGTATGTGGTTTGCTACTACAGATCCCAGTGTATCCACACCTGCAGTTTTGCAGCTCGTACATCGCCTAAGGACGTGAATGAATCTGGTGGTGGGGCACAATGTCATGACTTGCACACGAGCTGAATTTAAGCGAGTGAAAAATGCGCAATCACCATCACTCTGTCGTCCACAATGTCGAGATGTCTATGGAGGAGTCATGTTTCACATTACGTCAGTCAGTTCTTACTGCACCTACGCCGATTACTTGTTATATCTATATAGCTTTTGCCATCTGCCTTCACAGCCGTGGGATAAACATACCTGCTGGACTGGTTGATCCACCGGAAAGGACTTTTCAACGTTAGCTGTCCACTCTGGACATAATTGTCACAGATTGTGCCTACTATTAATACTTACATCTGAACTGACATGGCATATAGGTATAAAAAGCATACTTCATTTCATTTAAACAGATTTATTGCCAATGTGGACAAATTTATAGCAATTAAGAATCAGTCCTTCTTCTCCAGTCGACTAAAAATGTAGATGAACAGAACCATACAGATAATGATTTCGAATAATTTTATGTAAACATGCAAGGTTGAGGAAAGAAAGAATGGCCAGAGAGAGAGAGAGAGAGAGAGAGAGAGAGAGAGAGAGAGAGAGAGAGAGAGAGAGAGAGAGAGAGAGAGAGAGAGAGAGAGAGAGAGAGAGAGAGAGTTTTCTAACCAGGAAAATGTAAACAACAACATAGGTCTCCTGTCATGAATATGGCATTAATCAAATGAATGGAGAAATCAAACTTGGAATATCCCTGAAATATATAAATGTGTCTAGTCTTTAATATACTTTTCAGAATAAGTTAGATAAGCAAATATTGCCATTCACAGGAAACTTCGATATTACGTATGTCTGGTACTACTATGACCTTAAGTAAATTGCAAAATACTTCTAAATGACTTATCAAAAGTCCAAAACTTGGAATGTCCTTAATGAATTCCAATATCATTGAATGTGCTAATCTATTGATAGTCTCATCTGGATTATTGTCTATGAATATATCCTCTGTAATCCATTATATTTTTATTTACCATAGAAAGCAAATGAGTACGTTATAATTCCAATGAATAATTTTATAAATAATCTATCCAAAATTATATTTGAACACGGCGCAAATTCTAATCATAAGCTTCCAAAGATCCATATGAAATATGAATTAAATCTTTTGTTAAGTATCGGATCGTTCAAAGTAACAGAAATAAAGAGTGACGACAAGCTTTGTAAATTTTAAAATAAATTAATTTGATTGATAACATGGAGAAAGGTAAATATATAAAACAAGACCTACGATTTACGAAAGAGATCCAAAATGTTTGTTCTAAAGATATGAAAACACACAAGCCATGTGAACCGTTTTAAATTTACACAGTCTGAAGTTCAGTCAGGTCAAAGACGGCGGATGATGACGTCAGACGAAGACTAACACAAAATCCTAAAATTGTCACAGTGAAGCAAAGATTTTTTTGTTCCAATTTAGAAGAATTTCAGAAAATGTCTTTGTCCAAACCAGTAGTGTTGTTCTCCTGGAAAAATAATTATTTGGAAAGTAGACGAAGTAAAATCATCTCCACTAACAAAACACATGATGTTCTAGGTAAACACACGAACAGACAACGTCTGGCACAAAAATACTTTTTTTTAGGTAATATAAACTATGTGACTCTCTAAAATGTTGAAATCGGCTACGACTCTGACTGAACTCCCTTACAGATAACTCAGCTTATAAACCAAGCTAATACGTGGTTTCATGTACACACTCACTGAGGGCAAGTGTAATTTTGCAATGCATCTGGAAATTCGGAAAACCTGACCAAGTATCAGCAAATCATTTACATAGATAATTCTAAATTTTTTAATTCCGACGAATTTATTATCATACAAAGCTCGTGCTTGCATGAGTCACATTTACAATTTAAATAAACACGAAGTTTCTAACAAAACATTAGACCCATGCTAACATAATGATAATAATAATAATAATAATAATAATAATAATAATAATAATAATAATAATAATAAGAAGAAGAAGAAGAAGAAGAAGAAGAAGAAGAAGAAATAATAATAATAAATAATAATAAATAATAATAATAACTACATTTAATGAGATAAAAATGATATAAAAAGATTGATACATAATCCATTCCTTAACAAACATATTTCAACTACAGGATTGTAACACTTTGTTTATAAAACCTCTTTATCTTACACCTTCGCCTAACATATTTTGGAAAACTAATAATAAATACTACATATCTGTCAACAAAATACAAGACTTGTAAACAAGGTTAGGCATTGAAATAAGTTTTTAGTAAACATAATAACAAATCATTGTAAAATCACACCGTTCCGATGGCTAAGTGGTTACAACGTCCGCCTCGGACGCGGGAGGTCTTGGGTTCTAACTCCGGATGAGCCATGCCAAATACTTTTGGAAATGGTATTAGCAGCTGTCTCGCTTGTCCCTAGGAGGTTAGTGGTAATAATGGTCCGCTTGGCGTCAGGATAATGTGGATGGGACATGATGCAATATGTCTGCGTCATGATATCCTAGAACTAGACATCATTGTCAACTGGCACACTGCAAACATCGTAGCGATAGGACTAAAATTGTAAAAGCTAAATTAAAAATCCAAAACCTACAATCACATCAAAACATAGCAATACGCCAATTGTCAATCACACAATGGATTGACTCTCAAATGATTAGAATATAGCTGCTAATGTATATCATTACACTTATTTTTATTCTTGTACGTGGAATATATATTTTCTGTTATCAACCAAGAATTAAGAATTAATTAAGCAGGTGTATGGCTTTAGCCTCTATTTTACTTCTAAAATAGAATAGTTACTTGCACGTTTTAATGAATCATGGAGCGTACTTCAGACGACATGTAGAGAAAAATGTGAAATCAATGATTTTTTTAAGATGAAACCGAGAAAAATAATTCTTAGTTCAAAAATTATTCATGTTGGTTTTATCAACTAATAGTGGAAGTTCATGAAGGTAAGGAAAGAAGCCCCTAGATAATAATTCTTTATGCATTAGACCTTTACGCCAAGCACGATGAAATGCCTTAGAAACATCGGAAAAAACACACAAGTTTGTTCTTTTCAGGCTTAGTATTCTCGATCTTGTTCATATCTATGAACCGAAATACCAGAATTGTGATAAGAACACTGGATTCATATTTGAATATACTATCAGTTGAGTGTTGGTGGATGTAGAGGTGCTTTAAAATATATTTCCATAACATTTACAAAAAAACCCAACTCTCAATATTGAATGTCCTCTGTGATTAGAAGCATCCCTGACACATTTTATACAATGGCATTATTTATGCTGGTAGTTCTTAAAGTTAAAATCATTTTTTTTAATAAGAGACCTGCTGAATAGAATAAAGGGTGGAATAACTATGGGTTAGTGTTGCGGGGTTCATATAACAACAGAGTGAAAAATGAATGTAGCTTTAGGTCTTTAATGAGACTTCTCTCATTCTACAAACCAGATTGCATGATAAAAAAGCATAAAGCACTTATTTTAATCGGGAATCACATTAATAAGATATTAATTGTTTATCTAATATGAGTTCCAAAGTTCCCAGATTCCATTTGGTGTTAAAGCAAATAGATCGGACATTGTAATTAAAAAAAAAAACATTCGACCCACACAGCCATGGTACGGTTGCAACTAAGCTGACACTGGGTCACGCATGTCCAGCATTTATTCTAGATACACGTATCGCTATAATCTTATTATAATAGCATATTAACAACGAGACACTTCATTTGCGTCTATGTTGCCTTATCCTTCAACACCAATGCTTTGTATGTGAACAAGGTGTTAATTACATCAAAAGGTCTGGTTCTGCCATTATTATATTAGTAAGTTCGTTATTGGATTTCAAGTGTACATAAGGTAGATTAATATCGGTATCAGCATTTTTCAGTGAAAAAGGATTAAGACATGCTGTTTTGTCGACATTGCAAAATGCTACATACAAATAACCATGTGGACCAGTGTTCCTGAGTGGTGGCATTATGTTAGAAAACTTCTATTTGAGGACATGAAGTAAAAGTTTATATTATTCTCTATATTATGAACTGGGAATCAAAATTTTCCAGGATACGAATATATATTTATATTCATATCCCTTCAATGTCACGTGACAGCAGATCGGTATACGGGTTAAATTTAAGTTTTCTTACACCATTACACTTCTCCTATGATTTATTCGATTATATCTTATTGGTAATGGTCTGATTTAATTGTCATCAATAATACTAAAATCTTCAAAGTATGTAGCGACGAAATCTAATTTATGGCGGAGAATTGTAATATTTAAATGTACAAAGGATAAGATTGCTTACGTTCACGAAGTAAACGAAGAATTGCAAAATTCAGAACTCATATGAATCGTATACAGATATATGGGTCTGGATTCAGCTGAGTGTAATCAGATAATAGAAGGATTAAAATAACATATAAATAAAAAAATTAGAGGCCACTAGGTGTGCAAAAGCAGCAACCCTTATATTAATATTATCATATCTACTAATACCATAGGCAAGTGGCAACGACTATACCAAATTCGCCTCTGTGACGTATGAACAGTAAAATGAGAAGCCAAATAAACATTATTGTAACAGAGTAATTGCTCTCTCTAATGAGGAGTACTGATAAAAACAGCGTGATTACAGCTTAATTTTACCTTACTAGGTACATTTATAGCTCTGCCGAGAACAAGATCGATGCTTATCCTATGTGAGAAAAAGATCGAACGACTACCTAAAGATTGATGTAAAGAATATGACGGGACTTATCTCATTTTTCAGCTTTGCCGAACACATATTATTTTAGCAGTCTACAACCGTATGGGGTGGGAGTTGATTATCACTACACATATTCCTACTAATTCAAACAATGCTGCAAAAGATTTTTGCAATTCTATATATCTTAGAACTTACCTTTAATTTGTTCTATAATAGTCAGTATTGTGTTGACGTGCCGTTAAACTCTATGCATGCTAGTGTAGCACTTAATCTGTCTAATCGTTGTCTCCTATCTACGTCATTGTTACTATTGCTGATAATAATGTTATGAGGTAAAATTTAAGTATAATATATTACTAATAACACCAGCAATGATACCTAAATACCGTTGCTGCCACAACATTCTTCCCAACAAGAATACTAGTAAGAACAACAAGCGCTTCTACTACTAATACTACTAAATGTTGTATGTAATAATACAGTATGTATACGTTTTTCTCAGGATCATTCAGGTGATTATATATCAATTTTAAACATTGTATCCTCTTAAAATCATCCAATTCAATATAAATTGTGCTTCACTAAATCTATCTGAGAACTTTACATTGTAGTCGAATCCGCTCTGCTAACACGAAATTGTGACTGATATTTATTTAACACGAAACTGGAAATTTGTTTTCGCATCAGTCTAATTTCAAATATATTTAATTTGTACTGTGCAGTTGACTTGTATCAAAAATTCAGGGTTTGGAGTTTTGGTTTACCTGACTGATATTTTTTTGTAAACAACATATTATATACCTAATTGGTATGTGGAGCATATATTACGATTATTATTTGTAGGTAAACGTGTTAACTTAGCTCTAAGTTTAGGACATTGGCATTTTACTGTGAAACCCCTGGTCTACCAGATCTTTGAAATGTTCTTTATTAAATTGTAATAAATAGACATGACACTGCTTACAAATCAGAATGTTCTGGAAATAAATTCGATGGGATAATTACCATCATCCTTGTTCTGTTATTGTGTCTTAGCTTTTATATCAGGCAGAAGTGAACATAAATTTTTTATTCTTATCTTAACATCAGCCCTTGCATGATCAATTTTAGTTGCGTTTCAGTATTAATTATAGAAGATTTATTAATTTATTTTATTCACTATAATTGCAAAGTGCTTAAAAATCTTTTGCATTTAATCATCAATTTGGGATTATTGTGAATTTAATTAGAGGCTTTAATTGAGGCTCTGCTTATAATATCGCTTGTTTTAGGGATGGGAATGTTCCCATCGATTCAGGTATCGCTTGTTTTTAGGGATGGGTATGTTCCTATCAATTCAGGTATCGCTTGTTTTTAGGGATGGGCATGTTCCTATCGATTCAGGTATCGCTTGTTTTTAGGGATGGGCATGTTCCTATCGATTCAGGCCTCGCTTGTGTTTAGGGATGGGTATGTTCCTATCGATTTAGGTATTGCTTGCTTTTAGGGATGGGTTTGTTCCTATCGATTCAGGTATCGCCGGTTTAAGCGATGGGTATGTTCCTAAAGATTCAGGCATCACTTGTTTTTAAGGATGGGTATGTTTCTATCGATTCAGGTAACGCTTGTTTTTAGGGATGGATATGTTCCTATCGATTCAGGCCTCGCTTGTGTTTAGGGATGGGTATGTTCCTATCGATTTAGGCATCGCTTGCTTTTAGGGATGGGTTTGTTCCTATCGATTCAGGTATCGCCTGTTTTTAGGGATGGGTATGTTTCTAAAGATTCAGACATCACTTGTTTTTAGGAATGGGTATGTTCCTATCGATTCAGTCATTGCTAGATTTTAGGGATGGGTTTGTTCCTATCGATTCAGGCATCGCTTGTTCTTAGGGATGGGTTTGTTCCTATCGATTTAGGCATAGCTTGTTCTTAGGGATGGGTTTGTTCCTATCGATTTAGGCATCGCTTGTTTTTAGGGATGGGTTTGTTCATATCGATTTAGGCATCATTTGTTTTTAGGGATGGGTTTGTTCCTATCGATTCAGGCATCGCTTGTTCTTAGGGATGGGTTTGTTCCTATCGATTTAGGCATCGCTTGTTTTTAGGGATGGGTATGTTCCTATCGATTTAGACATCGCATGTTTTTACGGATGGGTATGTTCCTATCGATCCAGTCATCGGAGAAATTAAATATTTAACTCAACGTTGATAATGTAAAGTGCCTGAAATAATATATGGAATAAATTAATCATATGTACTATAAACAGGATGTTTTGTTTACTTATATTAGGTACAATATTGTGAGAATTTATAGTGAAGTAGGCTAGTGTTCTATTTACAGCCTTATTCAATACTGTATAATGTATGGTATGAATGTCGACAAAAGAATAGAAACAAAGAGAAAAATAGAGCGATAATATAGTTTTGCTTACAAATTACTGAATGAATATATATATATATATATATATATATATATATATATATGTGTGTGTGTGTGTGTGTGTGTGTGTGTGTGTGTGTGTGTGCGTGTGTGTGTAATAATTGATGATTAAATTATTTATTTTCTTTATTAATTTGCTTTGGCCTACTAAGATGTAGAATTTCACAAGCCCGATTATTTGAATACTCAGTTATAGAAAGTGCGTGCCGTTTGACTTGATT